TGGATTCAGAAAAAATTTAATACATATGTCTATCAAGGTTAAATTCATGGCTTATGTTTTGACAAAGACATTCGCTTCGAATTTATGTGCAACATCTTCTACTGTATATTGTTTAATATGTTGTTTTAGATCAAAAAATCTTTTAGAAAAACTTTTCATTGTGTCTAATGCTTCAATCTCATGCAGTATCGCTACTGTTTCAATAGTGGCAAACTTCATTTGTTATTCTTTACCCGTACGAAATTTATAATATTATCTTTGTAAATTGCTGGCGTCGTTTGACAAAGCATAAACGATTTGGACTTATCTCTACATATATTTATAGTACAACAGCCAGTCTCATCATCGGTGGAGTTGCCTTTCAGACCGCATATGATATGTGGGTAAGATACAATAATCATCTTATTATTTCTCTAACTGAAATGATAGCATTTGATATTTTCCAGAAAAAAGAACGAGCCATTGGTTCTACTATGTTCTTCATTGCTGTTGGTGTAATTATATATGTATCACTTATCAACTTTCTTGTTACTGATATTCATGTTTTCAATGAGAGGGTATCATCAGCAATAACAATGACATTACCTTCGAGAATCTACTTAATATAACGATTAGTTTCATTATGTCAATATCAAATAGTTGTCGAAAGAGTATATTCGTAAGTTAAAGATGGTAATGAGTGGAGTCTCAATGGAAGAACATTGTCAGTTCAATGGTTAATCAATTTTTAAACTTTAACTATGTACTAATACGTATATATTGTTTTGTTATATATCAATGTTGACTTGTTTTATCAAATAGTCTTGCTTTTCTGATATTTCATTACTGAACTTGTATTTAGATCAGAAAGTGTGATGTATCTGGTGGAAAATATTTCAAAGACGATCTTGTGGTTTCTCAGAAATACATGAAAATGCTCAGGTTAGAGATAAACAAGTCAGAAAAGTCTTATCTTTTATTTTAATTCTCAAAAAGGAAATGTTTGTATGGAGCACACATTGATAATTGTTAATGAATCAATAAAAATTTCATAGTGATTATCAATCTATTAAAAAAATCATCATCTTGATAGAAATTCCTTTATAGATAGACACATTTTATTAACGGTAGTTAGTTTATTAGTCATGTATCTCCTATAAAACCAGTTACACTCACACAGTCACAGTCTCATCCAACAGAAATAGATCATTGTCATGGAAATAAATCGATCTTATGAAAAGAAAGTGATGTGTGAACAAAAAATAGGAAAACACTCATTAATTTTTCAAACACTTTATTATTCTCATTTTATATTAAATATCTAAATAAGACTAAATATGATGAAAAGTATCTTGATTATTTCTATAATTACAATATTACAACATAAAAATGAATGATTTGTTGATTATAGTAAATCTAATTATTCTCAAATATATGATAAATTTAACTGAAGTGTAACATCCACTCTTCACGATATACTTGAGTCAACACTTAAAGATAGTTTCAGATTTGAATCAGTATTAACTGAACATATTCCAAGTCTTCGTCGATTTGACTGTGCAATGGCATGTAGAATCGGTAATTGAATGTTGAATAGAGATTTTGTTCAATATACTTTAAGTGATATGATTGTTACATGTATTAATGTGTACATATTCAGAAGTTCCATTTTTCTAATTTATTTCGAATAGAGTTAATCTGTTACAAATCTTTGTAAAACATAAAAATGTAAAAGCTACTTTTAATAGAGTTCCATCAATATCCCGTCGTTATCTATTGAACGAGGTGAGGAGGGGTAGATTTGTTTGTGACTCTTCATCAAGTTCCATCATTTCTATTGAAAGTTCAGCACCATGGACTCCTGATTCTTGTTCTGTCCGAATTCCGATGTCAATGGAGTGTGTACCTGCTGGCACATACACAACCTCTCTCTTCACACAGGGTACCACCATAACAGACGACAAGCTATATACATATATACCAGCTCGCCAATCTATTGCCATCCCATCACGACCAAGTGTTGGATCTATGGTAAAGCGTTGATCATTATTGGCATAGAGCTTGTTTCCGATAAGAACTTGATCATCAATCATCATCCGCACCCATGTTCGTGTGTCCAGAGCAGTCGTGTAGACCATACCTTGAAAATAAATTTTATACAAACGAGGTCGAACGTGGTTGAAAACTAACGACAAGCCAGGAATCTTGATAAATGTCGTGCTAGCAGATTTTAACATAAACACTGTGTCGGTTTGATATTTGAAATAGAACTGTGGTCCACGATTGAAACCATTGGAGAGACTTCTAGCGCGGTCAAGATAGATGATCTTTACATCTGTTGTCCTTGTAGCATTGTCTACTGACTGGCCAAAACAGAATAGACAAAGCCCTGAAGTAAGGAAAACGAGGAGAAACATTCAAAACCAACGACAACTGAATATTTCTGAATACTATATGGCAACTAATATATGAAAAAAAAACAATTAATATACTCTACTGAAGGCTGCTTTAATTTGCATTCCGAATTATTCATAAGAGTATGAAAACATGGACATAGTATCATACGTTAAGTATGCATGTATAATTAAATAATTTCTTGTAGGATTGATACATTCACCACTACAATTTGTTTTCATGCATTTTAAACTTAAGCTGCTCTAGACTTTATCCCGAGTGGCTAGCTTAATTACCACTGCTATTCAATTTCATTCTAGTCCTCCAATAAATATTAAAAAAAACCTAGAAAAGATATAATGTAATACGAACAACTGTGAGAGTGGTGTCATAATAGACGCATGAAAAAAGAATCATATGATATGTTAATATCATCATACAGCGAAATAATACTGGAAAGCATCTATTTCGATTGAGTTCCTCATATATTCTATGTTCGAAAATACAGCTTTTGATGAGATGAACGAAAAAGGCAACTGACGAGGTACAAATATTAAAATAAAACTAAATATGATCAAATAATATGGCATCTAGAAACTGGTAATCGAATGTTGAATGAAGATTTTGTTCAATAGTCGATGAATATTGTACATGGACTCACAGTTAGTAATAACCATGATCATCTTATTAAAATGATAAACGAGCTGAATACATATACCATGTTATGATTACAAAACAGGATTATATGTGGGTGTTGATCTGAGCGTCTACGACCTGGCAGTTCACATGTATTTATGAGCTTCAATCGTCTCAGATTTAAAAAAGGATAGAGTTCTTGAAAAAGAAAACTAGGTTCACAGACTTGAGAGTTGTCGCAAGTCTACTACGTATTGGTAACCAACATTGCAAAAATTTTTTCCTGGTTTCTCTATTGAATTGAAAACCGAAATGATGACTCAAATCAATAATAACTCAATCTTTGAAGAAGAAAAATGAAAAATTAAACGATTCTACCTTTACTCTACATGTAATCTACTTTTTTCCTTGCTTCTAAACCTAGTCTCATCAGTGGCAAATGATTGTTAAGGTTCATCTAATAATTTATACTTAGTCATTATCTAATGAAGGATTTAAAATCATTCTACATTAAGTTATTCAATAAAAACTTCAGAGTGTATTTGTTTTACTCTTACTCACTTGATTTCAGTAGCGTGCTTGTCACAAATAGACAAGACTCTTTTCTCGTCTTGATGATAAGACAATTCTAGTTATTGACAAGATACATTTGCTACCTATAAAGCAATTTCATCGAACATATTAAAATTATTTTAAAGAAACAATTAAATGAACAAAAAATACGCCTCGCTATCATTTGTCAATTCGTTTGGACAAAAAAAATCTTCCATAATTGTTTTGATGAGGACACACATACTCTTTTAAACGTAGCTTAACCATTTGTAAAAATAGAACTTCCAGCTTTAAGAAGACTGAGCTTACTCTAGTTCACATTTGGTTGCTTCAATATTTGAGTGAGAACCGAAATTGAATCGTGCTTTTTTCCCGACCCTATTGTACATTGTTATCCACTATGCTGTTTGAAAAATTAATGTTTCATCATTTGTTTTTATTAATAATTAAATATTTTCTCGGTACTGAATTAATGCTATCAAGTAATAGAATGTTAAAAACACATCTAAACGCATTAGTTTCTTTACTTCTCCATGTCAAATATTCCCTCTAGAGATTAATTTATTGCTTTTTTCTAATGGTCAATTTGTCATTTTTCAATATTTTCTTATTTCAAATACTGACTAAATTTTATGCGAAAACAACTTGAAAAAATTGTTATTCATGGATAAAATGATTTCAAGTACATTAATCGTCATTATTATTCACTGCGATCATTTAATTTCTATATAGTCCAATTTATATTACCTACTCATCTCAACGAATCTTTCTCTCTAACATATTGACTAACACGAAAAATACCTGTACAGAACGAAAGAATAAAAATATTGTTAGAAATCATATCATGTATTTTGTTTATCGATCATGTTCTTATGAGTCATTATCTATGATTGCACAAATGAAAAGCAATATAACTTTTCTTGTTTTTCACTAATGACATAAAAATAAGAGTGACTTTGTCAAATCATCATCGTATACCATATATTCAGTGAATGTGTCATGTGTCATGCATCACTAGATTGTGTCATACCGAAATTACTCAAGTAATATTCTCGCCAACTCTTTCTTTCATGTTTTTTTCCGGCTATAAAAGTGAATGTTGTAAAAAAGAATACAATATTTTCATTCGATATCATACATTTGATATCAACATCATTCAATCGTAATTCAAAGTATGTAAATATGATATAAGGATCAACTTTGAATAGTTAAAATCAAATAAATCTTTCTTTGAAAATTCAAATATTTTTACTAAGATTTTCATCTCAGTCATTATATAACAGCTGATGCTATATAAATATCAAATCATTGTCAAATTATAAGATCGATCGAAAAAATTAGTTTTGTTTCTGCTCTATTCGATGATTGAATACTATATGAATAATAAAATTATTAACAATCCCGTTTTTCCATTATAGATTAAGAACTTTATCAATAAAATGGAATCAAATGAATCAGGATTTCAATCACGAGGACAAATTCTTGATTATTTTCAAGTAAGTCTGGTATTACCATAAGTTTTGATATTCACATTTGCTAATTTTAGGTTGTAACTTGTTTTAATTTCGAAGATTCAATTCGTTTTCTTGATCAATATCAATGGAATGTAAAGGTAAGTTATGTTATCATTTTTATAGAAAAGAAAAATAGTTCACTTAACAACTTACAAGCTAAAAAAAGCCAGAGAAATAAAGTAAATTCAAATGTATCTAAGAAAATTTCTCATTAATGAACTTATTGTTATCTTCATATCAATCGATTCTTATTTCTTTTTTCAGAACGCACTACAAAAGTTCTATGCCGACAATGGTAAAGTTTCATTTATTTTTTTCTTCTTTACATTAATACATGACTTTTTTTTCGTGTATTTCGTGAAGTAGGTCTTACAAATACTGGTAATCAATACTTCACTAGTATGCTTATAAGGGAAAAAAATGATGAATATCTTGCTAAAATCATTCATGAATTTGAAAATGGTTTATGTACTCAAAATGTAACTATTGTTTGACTATCCCGTAAGGGATAGAAATTAAAACAAAAAATAAAATCGTTTCTCTTTTGAACTTTTATTAGGACGTATCCAATCTTGTTGTAATGGGTGAAATTAAACGAATTGCTCTTGTTGCTCACAATAATAAGAAGACAGAATTGATTGAATGTCTTCGACAACATCGTGATACACTTGCTAAACATAAATTGTATGGTACTGGCACGACTGGGTCATTAGTAGAAAAAGAACTTCAAGTACCAGTAACTAAATTTGAAAGTGGTCCTTTAGGTGGTGATCAGCAATTGGGTGCAAAAATTACTTCACGAGAACTTGATATTCTTATTTTTTTTATTGATCCTTTGGATTCTCATCCTCATAATTCCGATGTGCAAGCACTGCTTCGTTTAACGCAAGTTTATGGTATTGTCTGTGCTACAACTGCTGCTACCGTCGATTTTCTACTTAGTTCAACAAAGATGAACGAACCTCATCTACGAAAAATACACTTAGGTCAACCTGTGAAACCAAAATAAAAACTCTTTTGATGTTCTGATATTTCATATTGTAGTAATGATAGGAGTATTAGCAATTAATGCTAATACTCATTTTGTATGATTAATAGTAAAAAAACAGCTTTTTAGTGCAGCCCTTTTAGAGTTGAAATGTGAAAGCTATACTTATTGTTCAATTTCGTCTTGAAATCGATTAAAATAACACGAAAAAATTTCTTTTGCTAAATAAATACCTACTGTTCATTGTGTTACTCTGATCAATCTAAACAAAAGAGAAAAAAAAAAAAGATTTTTATCGATAGATACTTGCTGTTAATTTTCACCTTAAAATCGATTTACCTGAAACATAAGATTATACATATATAATGCTCAGTGTTCGTCTAAGTGTTGATCAAAGGTCAAAAATCAAATCTCAAAGGTCAGCAGACAACGTCGAACCATACGCATTCGATTCAAAGTTGAAAGCTCAGAAATTAAAAGTTAAGGATAAAAAGGAAATTAACATTTGTGAATCCTTGATTGACCAAGACAACCCTATTTTTCAATTGGACTATAAGACAGTGAATATCTCCTGAAATCTGATTTGCTGAAAGAAAGAACAGATTCTATTTGAGCAAAGGTGTCTAGTAGTAATTTCGAGTGTTCGCCGGTTCTCTAGCCAAATTTCAGTACTTGAGTCATTGATTCTTAGGTCAATAATCAAAGGTTAACGATCAAGAGTTAAGGGTTAAAAGTTAAAGAAGAAATACGGGAGTACCATTCGTACGGCAACTCGCTAATAGATAAATATTCCCTGTTGAATTTTGTCGCAAAATTGTCAATTCATCGTTAGTTTTTTTTCGATGATTGCGATTAATCGTCACCACTTAGCTGATTGTTATGGCATGAGAAACGATATCTTAAACTGACAACAACAACGTCGTAATATTTCAAAAGTAATAGCAATGCCAAAAATTGTATGAAAAATGTTTAAATGCTTGATAATAAAATCAATTGGAATGAAATATATTCGGATCAAAGAAACTACGAAATTTCATACTTTGTATTTAAATATACCTTTGAAAATAAAAACAACATTTGTATGTTCTTACTGAAGAAAGAAATTAGCTTCAGTACGCCAAAAACCATTAAAAAAGCGCTCAAAATCGGTCGATTTAAATAGTTCAACAGGACTGGACTGATGCAGTGCTAATTCTAAATCTGAATCATACATCTTGCATGAATACGTAGAAATAAAAAGCACACATGATCTGCTATACTTTGTCTAAACTGTTGAAAAATTGTAACTGCATGCATTCGTAGGTCACTGTTTCGCATTTATGCGCAGCAATAGTCAATCTTGCAGAGAACTTGCATGTTATGACGCAAGATGCATCGGATGGAAAAATATTTTGCAAGTTAATGCATGATTCTAGAAATTTCCTGTAGGTACATGCATTTTTTGAAGTTTTGGGTTTGACTTAGTGGATATTTAGTTATTTTATGATCGCTAATATTGAAGTCTTAATTAGGTTACTGACACAATATCTCATCGATAAGCTTTATAGCCAACTACATCGAACGAATTTGATCCGAAAGAAGAGAACATCATCAATGGTTACCAATCGTCTCGTTCATTAATCACCGTCTTCATCATTTCTTGTTCGACTCATCACATTGGTTATTGATTGAAAAGATAGGTCTTATCGAAGACATGTATGTGTGATATCTCCCTCTCTCTCTTTTTTTTTGAAGGCATAAGTGAATATGATAAGAGAAGAAGCATTTATTCATCGACGCTATCCAGTTCAGCTATGTACGTCATTTCAATGATTTACTGCACATAATCACTGATGATGTTCGATGAAATTGAAATGCGATCTTACTTCTCATCGAACCATTGCCAATTTAATAACAAGAATATCTATTATTTAATGGAAACTAGGGGTGGGAAGTTACCGTTATCCGGGAGTTACGTTACCGGGTAACTAGTAACTTTTGAGTTACTAGTTACCGAGTAACTAGTAACGCCGGAGTTACCAGTTACCAGGTAACTAGTAACTTCGAAGTTACTAGTTATTTTTGGTAGGTAACTTGTCTAAAAGTCGAGATATCGCTTCCTAATGACTGAATATCATCTATTCATCACTCAATTAAATTACGAGTTACTTGGTAACTAGTAACTCCTATGTGCGTTACTAGTTACTCGGTAACTCGTGAGCTGAATAAGTACTGTAATGATGGTATTCACTCATTAGGAAGCGATATCTCCACTTCTTAGACAAGTTACCTACCAAAAGTAACTAGTAACTCCGAAGTTACTAGTTATCTGGTAACTGGTAACTCTGACGTTACTAGTTACTCGGTAACTAGTAACTTGCGAGTTACTAGTTACTTGGTAACGTAACGATAACTTCCCACCCCTAATGGAAACTCATCAATATCCCCAATACTATTCTTTATTTTTTTGTGTTTGTAAGCAAACACTTCTGGATAATTTGTTTACTCTTCGCAAGCATGATGAATAATCATTCTAGAGTATACGTTGATGTGATTACTAATGAATACCGAAGAGAACAACTCGAAAAATATATAATACCACTCTTCTATACAAACATTTGCTAATCAATAATACAGTTTGTTACAGTATCTTTCTACTGTTATTGTCGTCATCCGTTATTTGAAGATGTTTCGAATTTTATTGTTGTTTCTTATACATGTTGCCATTTCTCAAACTCCCAAACGCCAATATTTCATTGTGACTGATTTTTTCCGTGGATTCAAAGCACGAGAATATTCCATATACGATCAAACTGGCAAAAATCTTCAATATAGAATCGAATCGAAATATCATATTCTTCAATCGCTTGAATTAGTTACTTATCCAACAAAGAAGGTTATTGGTAAACTTCAAGCTAATTTAAGACTATTAGTATACAAAGGAAATATCGAAATATTTAATGATCGTACTCAACAATGGTTAAAAGGTGTTATTACTCAAAATTTTCAATTATTTGGACATAATTGGACAATAAAATGGAATGATCGTTTGTTGTCAATGGAAACTGATCCCATATCACTGACTACAAATTTTTTTGACAAACAACACGATCGAATCCTCTTGGCCAAATTTCAAATGAGAGTCCAATCATTTTTTTGGGTTAATCAATACGATATGGAAGTCTATTCAAACGCGATACCTGATGGTGTTTATCTGTTAAGTTTAGCTGCTAGAGATCATACTTTGCAAGCAGGCAAGAGGGATAAGAATAATAAAGCAAAGGCAGTCATTGAATGCATTTATATATCTTTAGATGACGTTTTCCTACAATGTCATATAAGACACAAAGACATAGTACACACATTATCATATGACAGATAAATTGACTCATCCGGACATATCTCTTTCCATCACTTATTGATCTTCAAATGTACACTAGACTAAATATATACGGTAACGTATAGAGTTCGCAATGTATTGGCAAGTTTATTGACAAAATCGAATTCCATGTAGAGTCGAAATATTTGAGCCTTTGATAGATAAATATTGATGACTTATTGTCATGCGTGTCCATTTAAATAGCTACATCACATTTCAATTATCAAATTAGATAAAGCCAGTGTGTTCTGAAGTAGATTGAAAATTACGTTCAAATGTGACAATCTTACAAAGATGTTTTAGACGAGGTGTATGTTTGAAAAGTTGAATCAAATCTGTTAAAGATAAATCAACATTCTCCCCGATCAAAGGCTTGATCGCTGTTGATTACACTGTCAATCCAACAAAGTAAGCGTTATACGCGAGGCTCTCGTCCAGAAAACAATCAGTTAGTTTAAATAGGCGCCTAATCGATATCATGTTGCATAGTGTGTCTGACGAATAGCGAGCAGCAGTATAAGTGATTCCAAACGAATGAATCGATTTAGATGAAAAGTAAATGAAATAAATACATCAGATACATTTGGGGTCATTATAGCAAGGGACAGACGAAGTAAAACGACTCGATCAGTCATCGATGAAAAATATTGACTGCAGATGATGTCGAAATCATGCTCGTTCTCATTCTTATAATACTTCATAAATGTTCGTTTCCACTCCTAAAAAGTAAAGGTATCGATGTGAAATGAACGTCAATTCAATATTGTTTCTTTCTATTGCTAAATAAGAATGAAATGAAAACTCAAGGTTGTATCCGTGACGAGAAAAATCTCAACTCACAGCTGACACATGAACTCTGTGTATCTCGAATTGAATACATTTGGAAGAATTCATCTTTGCATTTCTAGTAAAATGAATCACCGTACACAATTCCACAATGAGGAAATACATTGATTTTATTAACACTGAATGACATATCAAAAGATTCACGTAAGAACTGAAGTTTTTCAATAAATATCAATGATGAAAGAATGGTGTTCGATGATGGTTGTTTACAAGAAATCCCTTACCTCAATAATTATTCGAATAGTTGAGAGAGCTATAAATTAGATCAATAATGGTCAATATGATAGTAATACGAGTGTCGACTTCATGAAAGTTGTGAACATATAGAAATGAGGATGGATACTAGGAATGCAGAATCTCTCAGTTTAACCCTACCATTGAGTGATCGTTTACAAAAACATTAGTTCTACGTTGGATAGAGTCGAAATTAGATTTTATAGTGAACCGTAGTGCTTTGTGGAATATGCTTGTGAATGGTCTTTCTGGTCTGCTCCAAATACATGAAAACATGTCTATCACAGACTGTGATGAATATGACGAATTTTCTCCATCGTAATTAAGGCAACTCTGTCATGGTATACATTTAAATGTCATAGCAATTGGTTGAAAAACTTCATAGAAGCCAATTGAAAAATATCCTTCTCAAATTTTGATATTTGTATGCAAATTACACATGCAGCCATTAAGATGCTTCATTTTATCATTTACTATAACGGAAAATGCGGAGAGGTTTTCTTAATATTGTGCTGTGCACTTTACTAATGGCACTGTGATTGACAATTTTTTTTATAGATTATTTCTACATGTTATCGACGTATTGATGTGTTAAAAAGAAGTTCTACAAAATTTATTTTGTACAAAAGCGTTCCATTAAGCAATAAGCGTTTACATAAAATATCTTATCACTTATACAATCAAATGTTGTCAAGCAGACAATAGCTAGATTGATATTTTTCTAATTCATAACCTTCAGGTTTGATGTAATAATATCAAAATGCTTATCGATAACACGCAGCACTCATTTTTCTAAGTCTTTTTATTATATGACGTAAATCAATACTAACCAGAAAAAAGTTTAATTTATTTAGAGAAGTAGAATTAGTTTTGGTTATTTTTCATGTCTTTTAACTTGAATGTTTATATATATATATGTATTGAAAATTCTTATGGACAGGTTCATTTTTTCTTTGGGTTTATACCATTTTTTATTTGGTTTATTATAAATATATGAAATAGATTCTGTGATCTTAATATGGCTTTAATCGTAGCACGTGTTTGTTCATCATCATATAGACGAATTTGTTTTTCAATTAGAAGAGCTTTTGTTTCTTCATGCCCTGCGCCGAAATCTATTACATTATAACCATTGAGTAATGACCAATCTATTGCTGATAAACATAAGTTTTGATAAGTTCTTAATTGTCTTGTATGACTATTATCATGAATACCGATTGCTTTAACTATAACTTGATTTGTAGGCGAATGTATAAACAGTAATAGAAAACCAAGTAAACTTTCACTTGAATGTTGTTCAGCAAATATAAATATAATTTTATTATTATTTAACGATTTATTTGTTAATACCATTGAGGACATCCACTCATGACCAAATTCATGTTTACAAATATGTTTGTTTAATTGATGTCTTGTGTCTGTTTCTAATTTTAATAATGTTAATTCTTTCATACGCATTTGAATTTCATCAAAATCTACTTCGGATGAAAATAGATAACGTATTTTACCACCACCGGCTTCAAATTGTTTTTTATATTTTCGAAGATTTCTTTTTCTCGCACTTCTACATAGCAAATTGATATATGTATCTAATGAATCAATATTTGATGGAAATATGCCTTTGGTTATTTTAAACCATGGTAATATATATTGACGATTGTTATTGATAATTATATTTTTATTTTTATGACCTGCTTCATTAATCTCTATAATAACTGCTACCTTAGAACGTATTTGAAATACATATTTTTGAATACTATCAATTATTTCATTTGATTCATTTTCATTTACATTTACATGATAATATGTACCAGAAAATTGATAAAATGGTGGAATCCATATAACACCAAGTTGAAAATGCCAAAAACTAGGAATAATATGAAGCCATTCTAACCATTTCAAAAATATTTGAATTCTTTTTGATGCATAAAGTTCACTTAAATCAATATCAAATATTTGAATACATGATGTTGATATTATATTACCATTGTGATTTCGAACTGAAAGTATAATTAAATTTTCTTTTTCTACACATGCAATTGCACCCGATAACCATATAATATAGGTTTGAAATTTAGAATCATTATTATTTTTAATTATATCAAGAATGTTTAATATATCATGATGTTGTTCAATAGTATACTTGATATTTGATAATGATATATGATCGTTAGAAATATTATATCCTAAAATAGAGTCAAACAATATATAAAAATTTGATTTCTTCTTTTTTTTTTACAAGTATATATTTTATGATGACTTTTTGTCGCAGGGTACGATAGAGATATTCCGAGGCATGTTGAGAAAGTATCCGATAGCTATACTGGCTTCGATGTTGAATTGGATGGTTCAAATATTATTCAGTACTAGGGGACAAGGTTGACTAAATAATTACATGTAATGGCATGCAAGAGTAGGGAGGTTTTTGGATGATGTCATCATCACTGAGAAACTTATTATTGCACCGATTACAATGTTTGTCGTATAGAGCACAGACAAGAGAGTAAGAAGTTTTTGAATGAACTCGAATTCTTTATATATATATATTCGTGGGGCAAATTTGGGCAAAAACTGTGTACTACTCATTCCGTTCGGCGTACAACATGGTCAAAAGCAGCTCAATCTTCATGGCACTCGTTAGCGATGTAGTTGTACCGTATCGCCATGTACATAACATCCATATTGATTTAAAAAGTCAAAAAATTGAAACGCATAGAGTATATAAAGAAGGTCCCTTGTATTTTGCCTGTAATCTGAAAGGAATCTAACGGAGAACGAACATGAACAACGTATATTCTTTTTCCTTGAAATTAAATACATTAATTCCCTAGACCGAAGAGTCGATGATTTATAGAACGGCAATTAATTCATTTCGCTTGTGTGTCTGCCTCAAACACGTTTTTAAAATCATAGGTTATCTTACATGCAGTTGTTCTTTTTCTTCAAACTGATTTTTTTTCGATAATGAGTGCTGAAATATATAGTCAGAAAACTAATGTATTCCTCGAGAAATAGCAAATATTTAGACACTTTTGAGGCCTCAGACACACTGAAAAAGCAATATGAAAAGCAAAATTTTGAATGCTTTAAATTTTTAAAGACTTTTAGATTTTTGGTACTGACATTTTCCATTATCAGATTGTTATTTCACGACATCACCGAACTTTTGGATTTCAAATGTAAGTTTTAATTCTCGAAAGCCAAAATAACTTAATTTTGCTATGGCGATATTGTCTTTTGAGTTCGGTGGTGAACTGTGGTAGGTATTTCAATATCAGAAGAAAACACTGTTTATCACATTTTCATTCGATCTACATTATAAATTAAACGGCATACTATTATTGTAAGAGGCAAGGATCAATTTCTTCCTGACTTTTTTCGTTATCAGTGTACTCGGACTCGCACTAAGTTCAGAATAGTGTGTAGTATCCTAACTGGGAGTCCTTGGTGAGACAGAGACAACTTATCATCCACAAACTCATAACAAAAGAGTCGCTCATTCAGTTAGCAGATTGATCGTGAAAAAATCATTGTAATTGAGGATGCTCCTATCTCTACGAGGCGATACACTCTCACATCTTCACTCACACATTCTTTCAAAGCGAACTCAACTTATGAAATTCTTTCAACTTCCCAATAATGTTGTTATATGTGAAACTTTCCTAAAATTCCAAAATTTGTGTACTATGGAATCAAATCAAGTCTATCGTCTGTACAACTATCCGAGTTTTCAATTTTCTGATTATTTTGCACAATGTCGCACCAAGTCGATTCGGCTCTTGGTTTAGTTTCTTAACCTTCATCCTGACACTGAATCAAAAGTTGGAACCACTTTTGGATTTTATCCGTGTGTACATTTAAGTTCATTTTATAGGGTATGGGTAATAATACGGATAACTGTAACGATGGTGATAATAAAAAATAGAAGACCAAATAATACATACCGTTCTTATACCGTCCGGAAAGACTTTTAACAAAAAACCATGCTAAGTAAATAATTGTGGCAAACAGAATGGATAATCCTAATAACATTATAAATGAGTAAAATGAATTATATAGAAGACAGTAAACTTATACGATAATACAATCTAAATATTAAAAAACTGGATCAAGTACGAATGAATACTTGCTTGTTAACTATGAAATACGACTATAATAATAATACTACATATAAAAACTGAAATGTAATTACATTTTCATGATTCAGATCTCTCCTATTTTTGTTTTATAATGGAAATTTGTGCTATTCAGTAGATAATAGGTTTATGTTATGTAGGATTTTTGTTTGTGAGAACAATCATTTCTATCATATGTATATGTATACACCTTTATTTTATGCTTGTTATCCTTGCTGAAGATAAAACCTCACACGTCCGTACTAGTTATATTTGTCAAATAGTTAGGAGATTAGGTTAAGATCTAATTTTGAATCAAATGACTATACTATTGTTCTGGATTAAAAGATGAATTACATCTTTTTATCGGAAGGAAACACCTAAAGGACAAAGACGATAAAAAAAAAGTTCATTAATTTTCGAAAATAAAGGTGTTCAACAATAAATGATCTGTATCAGTGCGAAACCGAGCTCCAAACATAAAGTTTTCATTATTTAACTAAAGCATGCATAGCAGTTAAGAAATTCTTATCATTTGAAGGCAGAGTATAAATGTAGTTCTAAATGTTTTCCAATCACTGAACTGATTTTTGATGAAGATGAGAAATGAAATTTTAGTATTGGATGTAAGCTATAATTTGTTTATTGTAGGCTAGTAGTTGAAAAAGACTTCTTGCATCATCAGTTTGACAATCTTATCCATCAATTACTGTTAAATAACTATGTACACCTCTGTGGTCCTCATGAGCTGTTTTGAATTGAAAAATTTTCAATATTCATTAGAAACCAGCATTCTCATTCATGATAAATCTTGAATGAATCTTAGGAGCTCGAGGACTCATCTGCATTCCCATCTTTGCTGTTAAAGCAAAAAAAAGTTAGGTGTAATCGAGAGTGATGCATCACTCTCTCGTTGTCCGTTTGGTCTCATCTGCTTTGTTGGACAACATTGCGCTTGAATAACAATCATTCTATTCTGAACGTTGTTACAATTCAGAAACTGACTATATAATGTCTTCCTTCACTTTGTACTAACCTAAATCTAATCTTAGAGTTGTTCGACATTGAAGGAACTGCTACAGATCGGAACCGATTTTTGCAATGTCATACATTCCACAACTGGATTCATTCTCAAACGCAGAACAGAACCCAAAACAATGATTAATTTTTCTCAAAGCTGGGATCACGACAAAGAGGTTTTTTCTTCCTATTTGGTACTGGATCTCACATAAAAAGTCAGCCAAAACGACGAATCGAAATATCTTTTGTGGTAGAATCAGATTTCGATGATGATTCTATTTTGCTTACAATTAGAATACCATGTGACTAAATGAGGTTGCTTTTTTTTTGCTTAATCGATGATCGATTGCTGTACGCTTATATTGTTGCAAGAGAATGATCGACTTTTTTCCCACTGACGTTTGTTTGCCTTTAGAAAGAAAGCATCCTCTATTTCAAAAAATAAGTATGACGAATGTAAGTGACACATCAGAGTATTGTTCGTTGGATATTCGCTCATTATATTAGTCCTCCCCATCGTTTATTTTTAACTTTCATTTGCGCATCCTCGACGTCAGCATGATAGTAATATGCGTTATTTTTTTCTCGCTTACAGTTTCAATGAATATACAAACTGTATATATGCACGTGTTTAGTCACCTGTAACTATCTTTATTTTAATTAAGTACAAAAACTATATAATTGATCATCAAAAAGCAATTGATTTTATCGATAAATTAGTTTTCACTAATAAAAGTTCAAAATCATAGGGGAGTTGGTTTATTATCTTTTGATATTTTAAGTATTTCCATTATCCTAGTGATTTTTCAAGCCATATGGTTATGATATTCGGAATCAGCGTTAAATTTTGAGTAAAATGATGGTAAGTTTATTCAATTTGGCTAAAGTTGAAAAAAATTCGTTTTTTCACTGAACCCTGAGGTCCTCCACAGGTCTCAAAAAATTGATAAAAATTAAAAATCGTTTTTCGATAGAAATAAATACATCATTTTACTCAGAATTTAATGCTGATTCCGAATATTGAATTATTTTTGAAAAATATTGTTGAAAAAAAGAATGGCTTTTCCATTGATTTTCCTTTTTTAGGGTAGTATCCCTACTACATTGAAAAATTAGTAGAGAAATAAATAAAGAAACGCTTTGGTCTTATGTAGTTCTTTATGAGAAACATTTCTGTAAAAAAATATCATTGAAATCTTTTTTTTATCTTAAAAAGAATTTAGTCTTATTGATACCAGCAAAAATAGCTGAGTTTATACATTCACCCCATATGGGGTAAATGTAGACAAAAATTCTTTTTGGAGCTCTTTTTGCAAGCTTTATAAAAAAAACACAGTCTTGACTTATAATCGTAAGATTAGTTTAGAGCAATAGAAAAGACTTTTGGCTATCAACTGGTGAAAAAATCACCAAAAAATATTATACTAAACACTTAAAAATTAGATTTTAATAATTATGTGGAAAATAGCTGAGATTCTACATTCACCCCAATAGCACCAGCGTGATTCTACGTTCCCCCCAAATGGGGGAGAATGTAGAATCGAAAAGTAACTCTCAAAGAACACCTTGTAGATAGCAATACTCACAAGATTTTGAGAAACGGTTTTCACCAGTCGATAGAGGAAAGATTGAGCTAGATGTCTTGTGAAGAAAGTTTTTCAAAAAAATGAAAAATAAAAAAGTTATAGGCAATATACGTAAGCTCATTAATTTTTTGTCTACATTTACCCCGACTTATTCTATCGTCTTATTTCCCAACACTGAATTGTAGCATTTCTAATACCAAGCCTTGTTACACAGAAAATCATTTTTATTTCATCATTATTCTTTCAAGTCTTAATTGATTTGAACGTTAGAATTTCTAGTTTTGATTAGCATTTTCAAGTTTATCAGACAAATTTGAAAAGGGGTTATCGGATATCTTCGATTATATATATATATATATATGCCGATTTCTAGATACGTTGATGTTTTGAAATGATCATTTTTATGTTTTCTCGACAAAATATCTAGACTCAACACTTTTCTATATGATCACATATTACACCTCGATCCATAGTCTAAGAGTGTTCGATATATGTTCGAATCAGTATTGTTGAAGTAATCACTGATGAGCATTCATTTTCTCTTTTTTTCTTGATGCATTTTACGAAGGTAGATCTGGTACTTGAAATTTTCAAAGTACTATCTACTGGACTACGAATGTTGTTTCTGTTTCGTAGTATTGAATCATACGCTGATTCTGACATACGAAGTATGAAATGCTTCGTTGTCATGAATAGTTAAATTGATTAAACGAGGAAATCTCACTGGAATATATTTCAGTTCACTAGTCCAGAGATGCTTCTGATGGAAAATATTTGTGTTAATATTAACCAGATGGCATTCCGGTTCCATCGATGACAATCATGGCTACAGTGTTGATGCTTGCAAATAGGCTACCACCATTGCTTGGTATGTCGACGAACAGTTCACACTGGTTAGTTGATTGACGAAAATTGACTATACGACATTGTTCTTGATTCATGCATACTATTTGACA